GGGGGGGGGGGACTTTTTAAAAAATTTTTATAAGTTTGTATACTTACTTAAATAAAAAATAGTAACAAAAGTGTCAACGCTTTCCAGCAGGAGATGAGGAGATTGTTACTGGTGAAGAGGTGACAGAGGACACTGGACTCAGTACAGATTTCAGCCCAGATGAGTGTCAAGCCGTGGCAGTCGAGCTGAACCACGAGAGTGATTATTTCAACCGCACATATTCAGTCTCACAAACTCCACAATTCAGTAATCCAGCAGACAGTATCCAGCCTGTGGAGAGCACACAGAGTAAAACCCTTGCTTGTTGTGACTCTGAGACGCCTGTGTGTCCTCCTGAGAGGGGATCAGAACAGCATAATGAAGATCTCTCGAGCCGTGGATGTCAGTCTTTGAACACAGAAGCATCTTTGAAAGGTTCGGAGGAAGAGGCTGATGTGGAGAATGAAGTTCCTGTTGTTCGTTCTGAGGAGGACTTTGATAGTCAAGGTGCATTAGAGGACAGTCGGCCTGTGGCATCAGAGACCTTTAGCGGTTCTGACTGTATTTCTGGATCTGAGTCAAATACACCGGAACAGCAAACAGAGCGATCGGTCGAAGAAGAAACAGAGAATGCTTCCCTAAACACAAGTTCTCCTGCTCAAACCTCATCACACCAGGAATGAACCTTCATGATGTTAAAAACTGAGAGAAATTCATAAAAACAACCTCCATTCATTTAAAGCCCCATCAGTTCAAATAAGTGTTCAGATTCAGAACTGTATGAAAAAGACTTGGGCAAAAGAATAAAAACAAGAACATTTGAATGTCCAAATGAAACCTGTTCATTATTCCAATTAAAGGCACAATATGTCATTTTCGCCGCTAGGGGGCGCGTATTCAAAATAAACAAAGAGACAAGGGCGTAGTTTGATGAGTGTGGAATCATGGGAGTTGTCGTCTTCATCCCCACAGCCGATGCAATCTGACGGGACTCGGGCAGAAATCATGTTCATGGATGAGCTAATGATTTATTAACGTAGTAGAATGTAGCAGGGTGAGGCTGAAAGCCGTCGAAGCGCACAACATATTAAATTCTTTGGTGTTTCCATGTTTTCTACAAAACAAAACCGGAAATCGAGGGGTTATGACGTCATTGGCAGGCGACACAATGACACTATGGACACGGTCCGTGTCACTAGTTAAAATTGCTTATTTCTCTGGATTTAAACATTCTTCGAAACATTTGGGATAATGTAAGTACACAAGTCAACAAAATATATAACACTGTTCTAGTGGTTTTTGGATATTTTAATAAAAAAAATAGAATCTTACGTATTGTGCCTTTAAGCTAAAAGCAAACTAAAAGGTTCACCATGAGGCAAGCTGAATATTAAAATCAACAATGCTATAGTTAAATTCCTGACGACAGTCAATGTCTTTCTGGAGGTTTTTAATAATCTGAGATCAACAAGAATCTCAAATGAAACCGTAGATGTGACGTCACTATGATGACACTAAACCAGCTAAACCAGTTCATTTTTTTCTAACATTTTTAAAGACACATCTTTATGTATTTTGACTATGTTAAATACCTTTGTAATTACATCTAGTGTATCTAGTGTATTTTGTGGACAAAACATGACAATTTTGACTTTTAATTTTCAGTTTAACCTTCTTGTGATTCCCAACCCCCCCCCCCCCCATTGGGAAAAAAACAAC